ACCATAGACTTTGTATGTAAACCTGATGCTCCTGATGCTGAAATCGCGTTTGGTGTGAACGCACCATTAGAGTCAACACGGTTCAAGATGGCCGCCGCAGCTAATCGACCTTACCAAACACACAAATGGCTGTAATTCTGGTGATTTTGCAGACGTTGGTAGTAGCCGAGAGTCAACCTCAACACCAGAGTTCGTGTTAACAGAATCGTTACGTTCCATATTTGACCGTTTTTTTTTTACACAATGACAGAAAAATCTGAAAACCGTCTGTCATTTTGACAGGTGGCAATTAACACCCCTGACCTCTTAAAACCTGGTTTATACTTCGAGTCTCACGTCTTTTCCCCCCTGCTGAGTAAAATAAATAAATAAATAAAAATAGCGCAACTTCTGTCTGCTCTCCTGCTGCTATCCCCCGGTGACAGCCGTCTTGTGCATGGCCTCCAGTCAGAACTGTGCCAACGGGACGTTTGTGGATGTGTTTGTTCATGAGGAGCACCGTAGCAGGCCAGCGGTCCTCAGTTGTGGCAGCACCGAGGAGTTGGAGCTGGACCACCAGAACAGGACCCTGAGCAGCTCRATTCCTTCTGCGTGTTATTTTGTTTAAAATTAAATTTTTTGTCTGAAGCCTAGCCTGGTTTATAGTTGATGCGTCGCACCGGGCATGAGGGGGCGCACGCCAAAAGTGATGCAATCGCGCCGTCCCCGCCCCTGCGCGTTGGCCCTGCRCGGTGTCCCGGCACGTGGACGTGCACCTTCAAAATTAACGTGGGATTTTTCTTACAAATATTTTATTGCATAAATCAAATCTACTCGTTTTCTGTTTTTATTTAATAATATTTTTAACACGGTGGCAGCAGTGCATTATGACTGACTGCAGCTCTGCATTTCTAAGGGAGGCAGAGACAGAAAAAAGGAGGTGTTATCTAATGTTGCAAACTGCAGCCACTAAATAACGTTTGTAGATATTTTTTKTTTGTTTTTTGTTTTATTTTTCGTAAGGTAACGGAGTCAAAAGGAGGACAGTGTKTGTGCGTYATTGTGCGCATTGGACCTGGAGTGGGACAGATGCGCTGTTTTTCAGCACCGTGYRCATCRCACTCATGTGGCCTGTAGTCTGAGGMGCGCTGATGAGATTTTCTCCAAWAAAATCCAGCAGGCACAGCATCTGAGGCAGAACYGYAAAACCAACATGGCAATGGTTACATTCTATGAATGTTTAGTCATTATCATTTAAAAAAGAAAGTGASAGGTAAAAATTGATCATGACAGATTTTTTTTTACCCTGTCAGTCAAAATGACGGACAGCAAAAAAGAAAAAAGTCTAGCGCAACCTCTGCTCAACACGTATTCTGAGAGTGAGATTTTGCACATCACGTTATTTTAAGGGTTGTGTAAAGCTCTGCACCAGCTTAGGGTTAGATCTTTGTATTCTAGTCAAACTTCTCGCAATTAAACACAAGCATGTACAGTTCTAAAAACGCAGTTCTTCTTTTTTGTTTGGTTTGACAGGAAAGAGCTGCACCAGGTACGCCCAGATCGACATCAACGCCACCGAGACGGCCCACAAGGTGGGCGCCCAGCACGCCCTGGGTCGGCAGGAGGGGCTGCAYGCTCTGGAGCTGCGGCGGAAAGGGATGCCGCACTGACTCCTTTGAACCGTTCAGCTCATCAGGATGTTTCTCTTTTAATTATTTTTTTGGAAAACACCAACCAATTACATCAGACAAACTGTAGGAGTCGTAGCTCCGAGGGGCTTAATCCAGATTTCACAGCTGAACCTCACAGAGCAGGCTTCTGCTCTTGCCTCTGTCTCACACTGAAACTCACGAAGCAGCTCTTCCCGAACAAAGGAGCGACATTTCAGTCCTTTCTCTGAGCTCAGGCRCATCATTAAATGTCATTATGTCAAATGAAGGGGCATGAAGGCGTTCTGAGCTGATTAAAGGCCTAAATAACCCCCATGAGCAGCGTCAACACTTCAGCTCAGTCCGTCTCTCTGAGCCTGACATGCTGAGTCATCGTTTGGAGAACAAAAAAAATAAAAAAGCTCAGAAGACGCAGGGATCAGTTCAGTCTCATGAAGAGTTACCACTTTTTATATTTTCTTCAGTGATTAGTAATTCCACATTTGCAAAATTGCTTAGTGTGTTCAGATTTACTGTGATAGTCATCCAGTTTAACCCAGAATGCTGCAGGATTYAGAGTCTGGTCCTCTGAGCAGATGTAAAAAGTTACCATTGTAGCAAATCTGCTTTTCTGCCTCAAACATTCTCCTGGAGTCTGATTTAATCTTCACCAGTGATGTAAAACTGAGAAGACTCTCTCTGAAAGATTTATTT